TTCGAGAGATAGTAAGATTACATGGGATTCCTGTTTCGATTGTTTCAGATAGAGATTCCAAGTTTACTTCCAAATTTTGGGGAAGTTTACAGAAAGCATTGGGTACGCAACTAAATTTTAGTACTGCTTTTCATCCCCAAACTGATGGACAATCAGAGAGAACCATTCAAATTTTAGAGGACATGTTGAGAGCATGTATTCTAGATTTTGGAGAAAGTTAAGAAGATCATTTGATATTAGCAGAATTCGCCTACAACAACAGTTATCAATCTAGTATTCAAATGGCACCTTATGAAGCTTTATATGGAAGACCTTGTCGGTCACCTGTATGTTGGACTGAAATAGGAGAAACTGTGTTGTTAGGACCTGATTTGGTACAAGAGACAACTGCAAAGATTAAAGTTATCAAGCAACGTCTCTTAACTGCTCAAAGTCGACAAAAGAATTACGCTGACCAAAGAAGGAAACCATTAAGCTTTTATGTGGGGGATTATGTATTTCTTAAAGTCTCACCACGAAGAGGAGTAAAAAGGTTTGGAAAGACTGGAAAATTAGCACCAAGGTTTATTGGACCATTTGAAATCTTGGAAAGGATTGGTGAAGTAGCTTATAGAAGTAGCTTATAAGCTAGCATTACCACCTCAACTTTCGAATATACATAATGTTTTCCATGTTTCTATGCTTCGGAAGTATGAGCCTGATCCAACCCATGTTCTAGATTGGGGAGAGCTCAATTTAGATGAAGAACTGTCATTTGAAGAAAGACCAATACAAATTTTGGATCACAAGGAACAAATTTTACGTACAAAAACAATACCATTAGTCAAAGTTCTTTGGTTACATGGAAATACGGAAGAAGCTACGTGGAAATTAGAAACTGAAATACGTAAGAAGTACCCAAAAATTGTTCTCTGATTCCAGTAAGTTTTAAATTTCGAGGACGAAATTTCTTTAAGGGGGGGTAATTGTGAGAATCCTTATTCTTAAAGGTGTTAATATTTGTTTTGGTAAGTATTAAAATTATAAATTATTTTATGGAAATCTATGTTTTATTTGCTTCACTTAAATTTAATAATTTTGATTATATATATAGTTGTTTGACCATTTTAATAA